GTGGAAGTCATACCATCGAATACACCAACTCACTGTATCGTATCAATTACCAATACATGATGTAGAACAAGGTTAGGCTAGAGAAGGAACAATATATTTAATATGAATAGAAGATATAAGATAACAATAAACAAGGACCATGCCTGCATGGCCGAGTCATGCCATCCGATCAACTCTCATTCATTCAATTCATTGTTCGCACCTTCTCCATCGTTAGGTATTTCCCCGAGTTAAATATTGAATATCTATTTTCTGAGTAGTCTCGTGTTCAGCATTGTGGATTGTGTGGTTATTGTCCAATGCCACTACAAACCCACTAACCGGGGATTTTCCTCACCGTTTTGTCGACGGATTTCTTCTTCAGCTGGTGTTTTCTTCCTTTTTATTCTATCTTCGAGAGACATGTCAGGTCTAATTCGGATGTCGTTATTGTCGTGACTAAGAGCGCTACTTAGCAGGAGATCCTGTTGCTTCTCCGATCCTAGGATTACCTTAAGGAGTTTTCATGGTCGCGATTCAACACTGTCCTCATTCCTCTTGCCTATTCTAACCAGTATTTTGACCTGAATTCCTTTAGAGCTATCTGGTAAGATACTACGAATATATTCTCCCAGCTTCTCTAAACCATACGCGTGTCCAATTTTTGGATAAGGATCGTTTGACTCCAGCGATTGCTCACATTCATAGTTGATGATATTAAATTCTTCTTCTCAGTCACACCAGGGTGGGGTTCTCTCTTACTATCAGATTTTGGTAGTGTATTTTGTGACTCACAGTGGGATTCGACAAGTGACTTGCTAACCACCTGTGTACTACACACAGCTTTATTCTTTTCGTAGTCCATTTTTCATCCCTCAGTACACTGTGACTATTTAAAGCGGTGACAGTTTTATCCAGATCTTCAGTTTCCACTGGAGGTGCATGGTTACCAATGTTAGTGTCAGGTGGTACTACCCTCCTCGTCAATGTTAACGAAGATTTCCCTTTTCTGTCAGTCGAAGTCGGTTCTTTAAAGCGTCTCGTAACAGCAGGTACTACACTGACACATTTGTCACTGTAAGTGCTCATGTTATCAGCGCATGCGCCATCGTTCTTCTTACAGCTCAAAGCCAATAGGCTCATAGCCTCCTGTATTAGTAACGTCTTATGTGCACAGCAAAACGTGCAAAGCCAATGTTAGGTTTCGAACATCTTTTGTATGCACATCTTATGGAACTACTTTTTGCATTCATCACACTGCATTACTTCCTCCACAGAAACGAACAGTTTGGTTCTCCATATTTGCAAGTACTACCAACCATTCTAGTCAGATTGAGGTGTAAAACACAATATGATCACAGTATGAACACAGTGTCAAACAACGACTTAAAGAGTACAACAAGACAAACTTTAGCAAGATTTCAAACCTTAACTTAAGTACTTTGATTTAGACCAAGAATGATTTTGATGCAATAATTACACAAAAGCAAGGATAATCACAACAAGAATAAAATCACTGCCCTTTTTGAACACCAATGACAAACTAATTTAGAAACAGAAACGACACTCTAATCGAATACTTTAACTGAAATAAATTCAATCAGAGTGAAAACAGTAGTGTTGATACGTAATAAACTATCAAAACTATAGAATATACTCAGCGAGGAAAAATACCACTGTCCTTTTAATTAGCGCGCGCGATCGATGCTATCATGTTGGGACTTGAGTATATTCAGATTCAGATTCAGATTTCAGATTTGTGTAGTAAGGACAGAAGGCCTACGGCCTATGTTATTCCTTTTCTAGTATGCTTCTGTGAGTGTCCAGTCTTCTCTTGAAAGAGTCAATTGAAGGTGCGGATACCACTGCTTCAGGCAGCAGGTTCCAAGTATTGATGACTCGGTGTGAAAACCTGTATGCCAGAGGTATTTTGTTCGTTCTTGGCTTTTCTACTCGCCTGCTATGTCCTCTGAGGTGTCCCGATCTAGTGGGAAGAAAGAGAGAGAATAAGTTAGGTCCGAAATCATTTCTCAGTATTCTGTACATCAATATTAGATCTCCCCTTAGTCTGCGATAGGACAGAGTAAAGAGGTTCAGTTTTTCAAGCCGCTCTTTATATGATAAACCCCGGAGTTCCGGAATCGCACGCGTAGCTGCCCTCTGTACCTTTTCTAGTATGTCTGAGTCACCTTTTAAACAGGGGCTTGCAGCCTGAACACAGTTCCCTAACTTAGTTCTCACTAAGGATGTGTATAATGTGGTGAACATGGTAGTATCAAGCTTAGTGAATGTCCTTTTTAAAGCCCAGAGGGTTCGAAACTCCTTAACTGCGACCTCCCGGCGATGGGCCGTCGTCTTAAGATCATTGCTCACTGTCACCCCTAGGTCCTTATGAGACCGGACTACGGGTAATGACACATCCCCTATGTTGTACGTATTAACCTTTGAATCCCCGAAGTGCATGTAGACACACTTTTCCGAGTTGATAGGCATTAGCCACTCTTTAGACCAGTTTATCATATTATTTAAGTCCGCCTGAAGAGTAAATGCGTCTGTGTCTCCAGTTATTACTCACCAAATTTTTACATCGTCAGCGTATAATAACATTGGAGACTGTACTATACTTGTAAGATCATTAACGTACATTATAAAAAGTAAAGGACCTAGGACGGAACCTTGGGGTACTCCACTAAGTACTGGTCTCCAGATGGAGCACTTGGAATTTATTCTTACTTTTTGCCTACGACCTACTAGGAAATCCTTAATCCATTTTAAAAGAGGTCCGGCAATACCAAGGTTTGCCAACTTCAATAGCAGTCTATTAGTTGGCACCTTGTCAAAAGCCTTACTGAAGTCTATGTAGACAACATCCACTGAGTTTCCGTTGTCTAGCGCATTAATCCAGAGCTCCCTAGCTATAAGGAGGTTCGTTGTGCAGGATAGACCCTTTCTAAAACCATGTTGTGCCATGTTCAGCAAGTTATTGGTTTCCATAAATGCTGTTATGGTCCGTTTGATTATCCTTTCCAGTGTTTTAATTACAACACTGGTGAGGCTTACGGGTCTGTAATTTGATGGAACTTGTCGTAGACCAGTTTTATGTATGGGAGTGACGATTGCGTCCTTCCAGTCCATAGGTAACACACCTTGGTCAAGTGACATTTTGAATATCACAGTCAGTGGGGCTGCGATATATTCGGCAATATGTCTCAAGATTTTAGGGTGCAGTTCATCTGGTCCTGTTGACTTCTCCATGTTTAGGGTGCTAAGAGCCTTAAGCACATCGTTTTGGTCGAAGTCCACGGTGAGCAGCTGGTTTGTTGACTCTGTAATTGGGTCTGGTTCTTTCTCTAGAGGAGGTTCCTGAGTGAAAACTGCCCCAAAGTAGTCAGCCATAATCTCAGCTTTTTCCTGATCTTCCTCTATCATTTCAGATTCACTTCCTACTTTAATTAGGTTGGGAATCCAGTGATGAGTCCTTGTTCTGTAGTTTATGTACGAGAATATCCTCTTGGGCTGCTTGAGTGCAGATTCTGCCAGCTGCATTTCGTATTTTCTTTGCGCTTCCCGAATTTTAGTTATACACACGTTTCTTATCGATCTGTAGTGTTCCATCGTATCTGCTGTGCCAAGGCGGATGGCAACATCCCAGCATTTCTTCTTTTGTCTTAGTAAGCGTCGAATATCCCGCCCTAACCAGGGATGTCCGTGCTTCTTTTTCTTTGGGACAGTCCAGGGTATATATGGTTGAGTTACCCGATTGTATAACTGTCTGAATAGAGTCCATGCCTCTTGTACTGATGCGTTTGAGTCAATTTCCCAGTTCTCAGCCGATGCTGCGGAGTCAATTGCCTGCATATCTGCCTTCCATATGTTAGGACGGGCCGGCGCAATTGTTTGACAAGCAATTTCAGCCATGAATTTGAATAAGATGACTGCATGGTCACTTCTCCCAAGTGGTGGGAGAAAAGCCGTTTGACCAACGTCCTCACCGTGTGTGAAGACTAAATCTAAAAGAGAGGAAGAGTTTCTTAAGTCGTATCTTGTGGGATCTCTAATGTGTTGGAATAATGCTAGTCCAATCGAGGTTTCTAACAGTTTGGAGTCGAACGACGATATAGATGACTCTACTTCTAAGTTAACCCAGTTTATATATGGTGCATTAAAGTCGCCTACTACAAGGCTTTTACCGTTGTTACACCAGGACATAAGTTTACTGAGGAGAAAATCGTCTGCTACACATTCTGGACTGCGATAAACTACAACTAATTCAATATCTTGCCTTCGGCATTTCAACTTACATCTCACCAGTTCACATGTCCCTGAAACATGTGCTACTGTCTCAGCTAATCTTATGGTTAGGGTACTTTTCGTGTACACAATAACCCCGCCTCCCCTTCGGTTTAATCTATCAGCCCTACTGGTTATGAAACTAGTCAATTGGATTTCACTATCTAATACTTCTGACGTTAACCAAGTTTCCGAGACAGCGATAACGTCCGGTTTTTCTTTATCCACCACTGACTTGAGCTCCGCCATTTTATTTAGTAGGCTGTGAGCTTTTGTGTAGCACACTTTTAAGTCTGTGGAGAGCTTTCCTTTGCCACCCAAAGTGGCTTGGGGATCGTTTTGCTCCGAACTTTTACAATCTGAAAACCCTTAAGAACGAGGTTTCTTTCACCGTTTCGGCGACGCTCGTTTATTTCCGCTTCTGCAGCCCTTCTCTTAATACGATCAGCTAGGCTGAGGTCCTCACGGACATATATTCCGGACCCAATCAGTTTACGTGAATTACTTAGAACCAGGTTCCTTTCTTCCACCGTGTTGAATGTAACCTTTAGGAGGCGGTTTTTCTGAGGACTTTCGGAATCCACCTTTTTTCCTATTCTATGAAGCTTACAAATACTAACTCCTGAAACTGTATCTGGGAGTAGTTTACTTAATGATGTCTTAATATGATTGAGATCATGTTCAAATCTTGTCTTTGGTTCAGTGTCCGAAGATTCTCTTATCTTATGAAAAATGACTGATCTCTCAGAGAGATCTGTCTTTTCACGCGGTGAGGATTTTTCTTCTGATAAAGTCCCTTCCAATGTCTTGCTGACCAGCTGCGTTTTGCCTACAGCCTTTTTCTTCTTATTTTTTTTCTTCTTACCGGAGTCCATTTGTCACCACTCAGAACAGCCACACCTGGACTATGTGGAACGGTGACAGTTTTATCCTGATCTTCTATTTCGACTAGAGGTGTATGACTGCCGATGTCAATATCAGGCGACACTTCATTTCTCGTTAATGTCAACGGAGATTTCACAATCCCGTCAACCGCAGTCAGGTGTTTAATGGGTCCAGTAGCAGCACTTACTACACTGACACATTCTTCATCGTCAGTACTCCTGTTATCAGTGCTTCCGCCATCGTTTTTCTTGCAGGCCAAAGCCAATAGGCCCATAGCCTCCTGTATTAGTACCTTTTTATCCGTACAGCAGAACACACAAAGCCAATGCGAGTTAGGCTTCGAGCATCTTTTGTAAGCCGTCGGACTTAGTCGTGTACACATTTTGTGATACCACTTTTTACAGTCGTCACACTGCATTCCCTCCTCAACGGAGAACAAACAATTTGGTTGCCCACATTTGTGAGTCTTACCAACCATTGTAATTCGATTTAAAAGGTTTAAAAACAAAAAACGATAACAATGTGAACACAAGTCTTAGTCAAGGACTAAAAACAGGTACCCAGGACAAAATGTAGCAAAAAATTTCAAACTTTAACCAAAGAACTCTTAGTTAAAGTAGACCAAGAATGCTTTTTAGTGCAATAAGTACCAAAAGCAAGTATAATCACAACAAGTACAAAAATCACTGCCCTTTTTGAAATTAGCGCCAGGGGAAGTAATAGTAAATTATAATGAAATACTATCCTCACTCTTTAATATATCAAGTTTTCTTTCAAAAGTATCCCGAAACGTCACGCGGACCATCTCAACCGGAAGCGAATTCCCGGGTTTGCCGATCGTATAGAGTAGAAAGTGTGCTTGCGGTACAGTTAACTGTTCTTGTACAACCAACCTGCTGACCGTGGTGGACAGTTGGACAACCGTCATCGATTGCAAAGGGATGTTTGACGTCATATACCTTGACTTCCCATTGGCTTTTGATAGGGTCAGTCATATATGTCTTATCGACAAACTTGAGTGACTTGTTATCAAGTCACTACATATTGATTGAATTGCAGTGATGTTGGGCCCTAAACACATAATTCTCAAAGCCGAACGCGAAACAATTGGAAAAATAAAAATTCAACATTTACCTCGGAGAAAAACCCAACAATGGAGAAGGCGGGAAGGGTGAACTCAAGCAAATGAATTCATCGGCACGGTCAGGGCGTTAAGCCATGGGTTTTCGTGCACATGTTGTCTAGGCTTAAAGACGTCGTTATTTATCGGGTATTAACAGCATTTTTAACGTATTTATTGCTCACAACCTATGTGAATGTCTTGTAAACCTAATGTAGTTATTTGTAACAATGCAAGTCAAAAATAAACTGAAATCAGAGTTTCAATCACAAATGAGCTCTGAAACCATTCACATTTTATTCACCTCCTTAATTATGATGGTGCTGAACATGGATGTTGGTAGCTGTTTATAAAATGTAGGTTGAAGCGGTTAAGCGTTAAACTATTTTTGAATATTATATGAGTTGCTAATATACAGCCATAAACAGTTCTATCCATCCCAATTATCATCGTGTTTGACTGCATTAACATGTTATTATGTAAGGCGTCTGAGAAAGAAAGAAAATATGAGTAACAATTGACGTTGATTGCCTTTTCTGTCCGCTTTCTTAGCATATACAGGAACTGTATAGCATTACTGTAAATGGCACATTGATCAGTCACATTTTCCCCATAGGTCAAACGATACGTGTTTGTTTTGAGTATGGTAACTAAACCATGTTGTGATTAATACTAATTTATGATCTGTCTGTTATAAGGTTGAAGGATGAATTTCTGTTAACAGAATCCGAAACCACTGATCAAATTTTAAAAAATGTTTAAGTGCATATTGACGAGTGATATCTAAATATTGCTTACCAGTTATGTTATTATTATATTGTAAACAGTGAATTTCTAATAGTATTATAAAAGTTGTAATTGAATTTTTCTCAGATTTTATATGACTAATTAAAGTTCTTGAATCCGTTTATTTGGTGCCTGAAGTTTTTGTTAACACCAAATGACTAGGTCAAATCCTAGGACGTAAGACACTGAATAGCACTGTAATATACTTATAAATACATCCCGTTAGCTGCGATTTCATTTACTTATCGATTTCGATATTGACAACGAAGCTTAATGGTTTGTTTCACGACTGATATTTTGTTTTTCGAAATTGCATGAAGCTGAGAAGGTCCTCCTGCATTTTGTGATATGCAATTTATGTCAAGTTATTGAAAGGCCCAAACCTTTTCAATAACCAGGTCTATATCGGTGGACAACTTAGCGAATTTATGATTACGGAAGATGATGTGGAGAAATAGTTTACAAGTTGACGATACTTGTATTTTATGTTGACTATTGCCACGTTCGTTCATATAGTGAATTATTTAAATATAGATATAAAAACTATACAGTCTTTTGCATCATAAATGTTTTTAGTATGTAGAATCATAGTATAGTTCGGTAATAATACTACTTTGATAACATACCTAGTTCCAAAACCGCGAATTTTTTATATTGTGATTGCCTAATCTGTGAGACATGGAAGTCGCATCACCGTTTACAAATACTCATCATATCGTCACAGTTATCAATGATACTTAGTACTTCTGAAGAACACATTTGGGCCGAGGATGGAATAACATATTCAGTGTGAATAGTAATAAGTATCGATCCTAATATACTGTCATAGTGAATAGTTATATATACAGTGCAACGTTCTAGCGAAACTTCTACATTGATGCAGTGCTACAAATTGTCTCAAGAAAACGGATACTTATAAGGCAAACACTTACTCATTCTCAATTCCCACAAACAGTTACTCGCTAACATGATTGGCATAACTCCCTATGAAACTACGAAGACGAAAATAAAAATTATGCAAAAGTTTATTGATGCATCATTACTACTGGTAAGGGAAAAATGATATATGAAGCGGAAAAATAAGTTTAAAAGTTGTATATATAGTGAAGTCAAAAATAAAACCACAAAGAACTTTTTGTCGTAAACAGTTCATGTAACGTTTCTTCATTACAAAACAGAGAATGCTGAATTATTGCCTTCAGCGTTTATGTTGCGCTTTTAAATACAGCAACAGACGACTTAGATATGAGGAAACTTGATACTCATGCAACCCAACAAACTCACAGCAGCTGAAATACGGAATGATCGCCTCCAGTCGGGTCGTTCTAGGTCGTTGAAACGAGACGGCGGGAGGCTTTGAAAGGATCTGACGCTTATCCCGTGCTGAATTCATCGGATGGCATGGCTCGGCCATGCAGGCGTGTCACTCTTGAGTGTTGTCTTATATCTTATATTCATATCAAATATGTTGTTCTTCCTCTGGCCTAAGTTTGTTCCCTGTCTTATATTGGTGGTTGTTACGCTACGATGAGTTGGTGTAGACGATGATGTGGCTTCCACGTAAGATCTCACAGATTAGGCAGTCACATAATGACAAATCTACAATTTTAGGATTAGGTCTATTATTAGAGCAGTACTAATATCTAAGAAGACCATAATTCTACATGCTTACCACAAATCCAACTAGTTGAATTTTTAGGGTGTGGATGAACTTCGCTATTTCTCAGGCTACAAGATATCCCGGTGAGTTTCCTCAACGTCCATTACCAGGATCGATTTTCTTGTTATAATCCCACAATAAATCATCGATATTTTTCTTTATTGTCGTTGAATATACCTAGGTTCCTGCCTGGAGGTGGCCCACTGCTACTAGGTACGAAAGCCCGTTGGGCGAAAGCTTGTATTATGTCCATAACAATTTGAAATGATTTTAATCGTTTGAGGGTTAGAAGGAGGCATCCATCTTTTCGACAGGGTCGAACGAAACTGTGAAGAATTAAGTCGATGGTTCTGAGGCCAAACCTACGAAAAATTGACCTCCGAATTATGAGTGCAAAGTTCACTCAATTCTCGTGGGAGTTTAGATCATGGAGTGCTAAGATTCGTATATCTTTTTTAACTTGAGACACTTATGGGGGAGAAATGCCTAATTTGTGCACAAAATTTGCACCTTATTTTGAAGTAATTGCTCTTCACTTTGGAGGATTGAAAATAAGCCTGTTATCGTCCGCTGAAATTTGAAGTTGAGTCATATCTTCCCAATATTTTAGCCTATAATGCTGGTCAGAAACCCCTCCACGAAGTTTATCACCATCAGCAGATATTAATAACTTAGACGATGTTTGGGGAGAAAGGTTGTTTACACAAATGAAATATGAGAAACGTCCTAGTACTAAGCTCTGAGGGTTCTTTTAGGACATTCTGTAGTCTGAGATATAGCAAAGTTCACCGTAACTTTAAAAAGTTGATTATTTAGTTGTGACGCCATGTAGTTTATCTATGATTAATTGACACCTACCTGCTTGAGTTCAATGGTGAGATATAAGTGGTTGATATCAAAGCTTCTGAAAAGTGGAGATATATCGCATCTACTTTTTCCTTGCAATCGGGGATGGTTGTTCATCCGTTCACCACAGTTAGCGAACTATATGTGCAGAAATGACCCTTACAGAGACCGTTCTGTTTAAGCGAGAATAATTTTGATCTGATGCTGCAGTCAACTTTCTTGCTGCGCCGCTGTGCATTGGTTCCTTGTTGTTTGATCCGCCTGTATGTGCTGTCGTCATTAGTCTTCCAGGAGACATTTAATTGAGCAAAAACTGTTATGCTGAATATTAATAATTTCGTTGTATTTTGAATTCTGTTCCTCTTTGTCTTTGGTTTGGTATTTGATATTTTTGGTCCGTGAACCTAAAAATGTTGAGGGTTTTTTTTGTACTTGTTATCATTATTATTGAACGATATTCAGATCAAGTATTTGTAATTTGCTAATAAACTCTAGCACATGAATTGGAGTTCGGTTCTATAGTAACTTTTGGTTCGTAAGTTACAAAGAGATTGTCATACCGTGCTTCGATAACGAAAGAGAGCAAAAACTTGAACGCAGCAATTGGTTGATATGTTTTCCGTTCAGTGGCACCTTTTACGTCTTGGCATTCAAGGAGTGCAACTCATTACAAATGCAGGTTGCGTGCAACTGTTTAAAAACAATGGTCAGACAAACTGGTTCGTGGTGCGTAAGGTCATGTGTAGAAGGAAATTCAAGTAAGCGTCCTTATCAAGTTGAAGGTAGGCTTTACAGTCGACTTGCTATAGATTATCCTTTAAAGCCGACACGTGCATCTGGGCGAAACTCCAATACATATTATCAATAGGGGGTCTCAGCCCAGATTCATCAATAAAATTGAAGAGTATAAAGGTCCGATCACTGTTTCCAAGTGGATCTAGGACAGATAGGTTGTCATTCGGGAGTTCTTCGCTTGTAAAGATTCAGTCTTGGTACGATTTTGTTCGACAGCTCCTCCACTAAGTATCTGACTTCACATATTCGAGTAATTCTAATTTTTTAATGCGGTTAGGGGATGAACTCTCCAATAGAGTTAACATCACCACTGTACATGTGTCCAACGAATAAGCAAACTGAAGTCACTGACGGTTAGTATATCAGTGGGTTAGACCGTTAGGTCAAAGGCTCGGGGTGTGACCCCCTAAGAAAACAAACTGCTTCGGTTTGGGCACCCGGGCAGTACCTCAGCCCGCACAACTAACATGACAAGCTGTCTACTTGTGAAAAATATTCTTC